TGGGCAGCGATTGAGGTTTAGGGACGGCACACACCTTCTCCAGTGCGTTCCATCATGGTTAGTGGCCAGAATGCACTGTATCGCATGGTGGAAGCCTCCCTGCATTCTGGGGTGGGAGGGGGCTTGGTGGTGCTATTCACTATTTGCTGTGATCGCACCAGACCGGAACGCAGCCATTGCTGTGCCACACGTTCTGGTGCGGGCAATAGTACTGCGGGTGGAGGGGTGTGTCTGTGGTGCCATTGACTTGAATGGCACGCCCCCTCCCACCCGAGAACGCATGGAGGCTTTTACTGTGCGATCCAGTGGGTCCCGGCCCCTAACCGTGCCAGAATGCACTGGAGATGGTGTGAACCGGCCCTAAAGCCTGTGAAGCACGTGGCACACGCAAGCAGCAAAGGAAAGCAGCGATGTGTGGAGCTTTGTGTGCAGTGTGTCTAGGAATATCCTCTCCCGCTAGGCGGGAAAATAATCGTTACAGCCCTAGAAATATCCCTTTATTTTACAAAACAGATGTGTGCTGTTCATTGAGATGCCAACATATTTAGGAATCGCCATACAAACTGCAACAAAATCCCATTATACCAAGTCTTCCATTATTCATATACAAAGCGCATCTTCTTGTCAAAGTTATGTATTTTCAGTAACAATCTGTTATATAAACATGAAATTCAGTGCATAATGCTGTTGAAGAAATGACTACCAACATGTTCTCACTAACTAGAGTTATCTCCCAACAGCCATCCCAACAGCACTATTCATACATAAACCTGTTAGAATTATGGGAAAACAACTTTATTTTTTATTTAACCCCTTCATGACCGAGGCCCTTTTTTCATTTTTTGCACCCATGTTATATTCCACATTTTAGGCCTGAAAATGACTTAAAACCCCCAAACATTATATATTTTCTGAATGCCAAGACCCTATAGAATAAAATGGTGGTAGTTGAAAATTTTTATGTTGCGCAATATTAGCGCAACTCCTTATTAAACCCCAAAATTTAGTGACAAATTTAATTAAATGCCCCAAAACACAACAAAATACCCATTTTTTTAATGAAATATAAAAGATGAGGTTACAACCAGTAAAACAATATCCAACATGCCCAGGTTACAAATTGCGTGCGTCCGTGAAACGGCGAAAAACTGCAGTACCCCAAAAAGTCCATAAAAGACGCTTTAAAAGCCCCCACAGGTCATCAATTTAGAGATACCCCAAAATACTGGCCCTAGAATTATTACTCTCACTCTGGTGTGCGTGGCGATACCCAACATGTGTAGCGCGTTCGTTGTTTTCATACGTAGGAGCACCCGGCGCGCGTTTACGTGGCGACGCACGTGCTCGCGGGGACGGGGGACTTCAACATTTTTTTTTATTATTATATTTATTTTATTTTAAAAACTGTTTTGTTTTAACTTTACTTTGACTGCTATCACATAGGGGTGCTAACAAGCACCCCCATGTGATAGCAGATGGTGGTGACAGGTACTCTTTAAGGTGATGCTGGGGGTCCAAAAGGCCCCCAGTGTCACCTTTACACTAGAAATAAGCTATTGAAGTGCAGATCGCACTTCAATAGCTTATAGCTGGACTGCAGTAGCCCAGTACTGACAGCCCAGGGACCGGAAGTGATGCAATTTGCATCGCTCCCGGTCCCATAGAACGTGGAGGGGATCGATGAGCGGAAGTTCGTCGATCTCCTCCCCAGCTCCCCGCGGACACCAAGGAAGCTGGTCCCGGGCACGTAGGAGGGGCAACGGAGCCCGGGAAGCACGGCGGGGGGGCGGCCACTTCTTCGGGACACAGAAGTGATTTGGCGACAGGTAACTCACCAGAATCGCTTCCGTTGTAAAGCCGACAGTCGGCTTTACAAGTTTGAACAGACTCCCGGCGGTTTAAACATCCCCGATGCTGGCGACGTACACTGTACGTCGTCAGTCACGAAGGGGTTAACTACTTTTTTAATGTTGATTAATCAGGCACAAAATAACAGATTTTATGGTTTGCAGTGAAAATAATATGTTACTTTTGACAGAAATTAAACATCCTAGCAGGCAATGAGATGATGTCTGTAAATCACACAGGTACTGCAACCTTGGAAATCTGATAGAGAAATTACCTGATAATTTGGCTTCCAGCCTACGGATCTGATCTTTTCTCCTGGAGATCTGAGAAGGCAAATCATCACGAGAGCTACTGCCATCTGATGCCTGTGGAATCAGAAACAAAATAGTGAAAAAAATAGGACTTAAAATATCATCTGTTTCTATGTTTTATAGAGATCAGCTTAACCAGTTGACATCCACGGTGTTAAACCCCCTTCCCATCCAGGCCATTTTTCAGTATTCAGCGCTGCGGTACTTTGACTGACATTTATTCCGTCATGCAGCGCTGTACTGAAATGAATTTTATACCCTTTTTTGGGGACAGATAGAGCTTTCTTTTAGAATACTTAAGAGACAAGCTTTCAAGAGTTTTCTTTTCTTCCTCAGGTATTGCTTTAGACGCGAGAAAGAGGAACACTCAAAAGCTTTTCTTTATAGTTTAAAGCAAACACCAGGGCTGTGTAAATAATCCCCTTTGATATATAGTAATGCCACCAGCTGGAGGACAAAAAATCCTAGCAATACATTATACAGTACGGCAGAATACCACCAGCTATAGAGGACTACAAATACCAGCAATACATTATACAGTACTGCAGAATACCACCAGCTATAGAGGACTACAAATCCCAGCAACACATTATACAGCAATGCAGAATGGCACCGGCTATGGAGCACTACAATTCTCAGCGACACATTATACAGCCTTGCAGAATAATACCATCACCTATAGAGGACTACAAATTCCAGCAAAATATAGATCAATGCAGAATAATAGTATCTAAAGTTGCTACATACTCAGCGCTGTCGCTCTACTACGGGGTTCTGGCCTGATGTCTCGGGCAAAGGGTGTCAAGGAGGGTGGGGAGGATCTTAGTAAGGGGTCAGTAATGTAACGAAGAGTGCAGAGGTTAGTAATGTAACGCAGAGTGCAGAAGTCAATAATGTTATGCAGAGGTCAGTAATGTAACAAAAAGTGCAGAAGTCAGTAATGTAACGCAGAGTGCAGAGGTCAGTAATGTAGCGCAGAGGTCAGTAGGCAGAGGTCAGTAATGTAACGCAGAGTGCAGAGGTCAGTAATGTAACGCAGAAGTCAGTAATGTAACGCAGAATGCAGAGGTCAGTAATGTAACAAAGAGTGCAGAGGTCAGTAATGTAACAAAGAGTGCAGAGGTCAGTAATGTAACAAAGAGTGCAGAGGTCAGTAATGTAACAAAGAGTGCAGAAGTCAATGGTGTACCACAGAGTGCAGAGTTCAGCAATGTAATGCAGAGGTCAATGGTGTACCGCAGAGTGCGGAGGTCAGTAATGTAACGCAGGTCAACGGTGTAAGATAGAAAAGGGACTTATAGTTTTGATGTACTAGATCATGTGCTCTGTCCTCATGCACTCTTCTTCCTCCCTAGGTAGTGGGGGGGGGGGGGGGGGGGAGGGTTACACCCTGGG